GCGAAAACGTTTTGTATTTGCTTAAATTGCCGCAACACGCCAAGCGCATTTTGTTGTTGCCAACTTGTGGCGTATTTGTATTGTTACCACAGTACTTATGCCATACACACCTACACATGCGCATACTGTGTGTGTTCTTTTGCGTGCCAACCGCGTGTGATTTGCGGCAGAACTGGGGGTGCGGAAGCGCGCCACCACTCTTCGACACCAGCGGCCACCAGCGTCAATCGCCAGCCACAAAGCCAACAACAGGAAAAAACCACAACAATAACAGTGCCAACGGCAGCTGTTTTCTGTTGGTTACTGCAGGCGATTCACGCGCCAAAAGTTCACCTTTACTATGATTCAGCGCGTTCTGGTGGCGTGTAGTGAGTGACGCGGCCGCCTGCCATTCCAATCCGATCGTAGGCATTCCTTGGCGTTCTATCCGGAGTGGGTGCTTATTGGCAGTTGTTGTTGCGCGCATTTTCGTGTATTTTCGCGAACAAAAGCAAATTTTTCATATCTATTTTTCATGCTGCTTTGGTTGGTTGTTATTATGTAAACGTTGTTGTGTTGCCTTGCGCACGCCACTGTTGTTGTTGCGCGCTCATGTTTGATTATGCTAAATGGCTTGCCATTCGCAGTGGACAGCTGTTCGTGCTGGTTCGCTCTATTTTAATGGCCAAGCACTGTGCTTATTAACTTTTTTAATGTATTCGCTGCGCTATAAACAACAATTTGCTTGGCAATTTTAGCGAAATCAAGGATTTTCTTGTTCCCATTGGCCGTAATTTGGTGGTGTGGCGCCAAAGTGAGTTATGCCGGGCGCTTTGATTAGGCGAAATTAATCTGATTTATCTTTATTTTATTATGCATAATCTATTCCCATTTACGAGCAGCCGCAGCAACTTTTAATGAGAGCAAAGCGAAAATGTTGCGAAAATTCTGTGTTCAGAGTCGTTCTGAGGTCGCAATGAAATAAAATATATATACTATAAATAAATACCGAGTTGTTCTAGTTAATTACAAATAATTGCACTTGTTGCTGTTGTACTGCTTCTATTCTTTAGCTAAATAAGAATGGCTTCAAAGATTTGTCAGATGATAACTAGCATTAAGGTAATATAATGATTGAAAATAATTGGCAAAATTAGCAACAATCACAAGCAAAACTGTAAAAGAAAATTTTGATAGATTGTATTGAAAAGTGTACTCTAGACGCTTAAAGTCGAGCCAAGCGCATTTTTTCATTTATGCAACACGCGCATTTACACTCGGCTCGGCATTGGGCGTCCACTCTGCGGGCATCCTTAAGTTCGAAGAGTGGAAGAATGCACTGTGACCTATGGTCTTTTGCGCGCTTTATTATTGTCTCAACTCTGCACTTGATGCCAGTGAATCAAGGGCTTTGTTCAAGCGGATTCAGACTCGTTAGTCCAACTCCTCACTTGCGATTGCGGGTCAATCAAGGAGCTCCTGTTTTGATGTCTCTGCCGCATGTCTGTATAACCGACATTGCTCTATAGAACAGTATTTCAATTAATGTGCTGCTACGACCTACTAGCTGCCTTAATTAGTCCCTGTGAACTTTCTTTTATTAAACTCTCCTAGAAACTTAGCCAGGTAACGATCTCTACAAGCCCTTTCCTTCTACCGAAGCTCAACTTCCATTTTCGAGCCGTACTTGAACCGCTCTAAAAGCTTCATAAAACTCATTATACCCTGAAGAAGATACTTTAAGTTTGCTTAAGCCGGTACACCTCCGTAGTGCGTTCCGATTTTTACAATGGATAAAAATATCGAACAAAGAATTTTGTATTTCCCCAAATTTCATGCGTGAAATCGTTGCGAATGTTGGAGAAGACTTACGGTGATTCAATTTTTTTTATCAAAACCATAAAGCATTCATAGACTGCCTAGTGATCGTCGGAAGATATGCCTTGTTCTGGACGACCTTCGACTTTAATTTGCGAGTCCGTTCGAATGACTTTGGCGGATATTTTTGGTATGAAACGCGTTCTACCTCGACTCGTCGCAAGAAAGCTGACTTTTTTTTTCAAAAAGAGTACGGTAAGCAGGTCTCTTTGCACATGCTTGATTGGAATGGAGGGAGGAAAACCGGCAGAAACCAAAAAATTCACGCCAAAATCGCTTAAAAATCAAAAGGATGCTCATTGTCATTTTCGATATTCGTTGTGTGTTGCATCATGCATTTATTCTGGAGGGGCATACGGTTGATAAGAAGTTCTACTTGACCGTATTGAAGCTTTTGCTTGAGAATATCCTACGAAAACGGCTGGAATTGTGGAAGAACAGTTCAAAGATTTTACACGTTGATAATGCACCATCGCATCGAGCCACGAATGAGCAATATGACGATTTATTTAATTCAGCCATGTCGAACTGGTCCCACAGTTTCCGAAACATCAATCAGAAACTTTGCATATGTCCATGAAGAAATACTTCATTATACAAGTTTCAAAAAGTTGAGCATTCTAAGCGCTCGCCTGCTACTAATTAGCATTATTTTCGATTAGCTATAATTTAATGGCATTTATTGTACTAAGAACTGTCGAACTCCTCCTCCTCCAAGAAATATTGATCATTACAGCTGACTCATTGCCAAAAAATTCAATACAAATTCGATTAAGAAACCAAAAATCTCTCAATCACTGATTTTATTTGTGATTTATCGTGTGGCATTGTTGGTAGTAAAAAGTGATTTACTGTGACATAAAATCAAATTCGTTCAGCTCAATGTAATAACTAATGAATAGTGATATTTTCTACTTTATTAGATGCTAAAATATCGTAATAATAACACTACAATAACAACCTATCCTTGAACAAAGCAAGCAAATGGAATATAATGATATTTATAATTGCTGGGAGGGTCACGCTGTGGCACACATAAAGGGTCGTATATTGCAAAGTTGGGATTTCATTAGTTTGCCAAAGCATATAAGAATAAATAGAGAACATAAAAATACTGTTATTAATATTAGTATAGCACAATGTATTGCTTGGGCGCAAGCCATGCTATGTTTTTCCACCAGCGCTCGCCTTCTCAGAGCTGCAACTCAACAGCAACATGCATACGTACATAAACGGCAACGGCACTTAATAGTGATTCACCAATGCATGGAAGCACTCGAAGTGGCAAAACAACCAAAGCGCAAGTAAGCAATATTACAGCAAAAGTCTGGAGCGAACCCGCTAAAACTCGCCGTAAGCGCGCGACTGTTGTATTTGCTGTTGCACGACCTCGCGCGTTGCTGGCAGCTGCTCGCTGGACGCCTGGTAATCTGTACGCTAAAGCTGTTGTAAGCGTTACTGCAAACGCTGCGCCACAGCTGCGTCACTGCTCCAACTGTATTTATGCATTGTAAGCTGGTCGCGTTGTTGTTGGCCAACTGTTTGGTTTTTCGCTTTTATTGAATGACTCTCGCTGCCTGTTGGCCAAGTTTACTGGTGCGGTGCATGTTGCCTGAAAGTGAAATAATGCGAGCGCGCTACACACACCTAGATTTTTACATAAAGACAAATAACAGAGCCACTTGCAGATTTTTAATTTACTCAGCGTGAGTTGCGTTGCAGCGTTTAGAAAATGTTAACGGCAGTGACAAGATTGCAGAAGGTGTTTTGTATGCTTGTATTGGTATGCACACTCATACATATTTGTAAATATTTTTGTATTTTCTGAGGCAGTTATTTTAAGCTTCGCTTTGAGAACTTTAAGTGCGATTATGCATGCTCTCTTGCTCAGTGGTTGCGCTCTTATTTCGGCTTGCTGGGGATTTGTGGCCTATACAAGTTGCCGTTTTAGACAAAAGCTTCTTACTGTTTGCTTAAGATTAGTTGATTGTGCTCTGTTTTAATTTTTGACTACCTTTTTTCTATTTAAAGTTAAATTTCTCTTAGAAAATGTACTTTTTATCTCTTCGTACTTTTAGTAAATGCTTCTTAGCCACTACAATGTTTTTTCAAATATTTACCCTAAATATGAGAGACCCTATAAAATATACATCTAAAGGATCAACGTGACGAGTCAAGTTTATTTTGCCATGTGTGTCTGTCCATCCGTCTGTCTTCCTCCATATATGAAAACTAGTCCCTCAGTTTTTGAAATATTGACCTGAAATTGAGCGCCCAACTTTTCCCATTTGACGGAAGGATCCATATTCGATCATTGAATGATCGGTATCAGGTGCTTGTATGGATAGATGTTTCACTCGCTGAGATATCTTCAAGAAATTTGGCAGAGATTATTGTCTATGATAATAATCCAAGTCAGGTGAATGGTACTTTAGCTTCAATACAACCGTAGTTAACGTTTTTTTTGTTAATATTAATGTCTGTCTTCAAAAGAAGATTGTTGCATTCAAAATATTCCTTGATTCAAGCATGGCTTATAAAACTTATTTGTTTCCATACCAAGCATTTTTGACCAGCAGTCCGTTTGAAAGTCTGATATAACCCTTCCAGAGATACTTTCCAAACAAATAACTTCCAAAAACACATAAACTGGGTGAAAAAAATTCTTAAATTCTATAAAAAAATATATATTCCGCTCTTTAATCTCGTTACTCTTAAATTACACGCTTCTCTCCATACGTTTAATTTTTCTACTCAAAAGCTTGGCATGCGAGCAAATCACACAAAAAAGAAAAAAGCAGCAAACAATTCCCGCAACTCAAACATTCACTTTGTCTTAAGCCCATAAGCCCCATAAGCCTCAACCGCCAGCAATCACATTTATGTGGAGCAACAAGTGGCCGTTGCAACCGAGACGGAACTACCAACTTTATGTGCGTGTGTGTGCTTGTGCGGCTTTTGAGTGTTAGTGTTTGGCTTATGCACTCAGACGTCACACAATTGGTACGTCAAGGCTGTTCGGTTGCTGCTTAGACGCTGTTAACTCAATGTGAGCGGCAGCCGAGGAAACGAGACGCCACTTCGTAGCCGAAATGCGATGGACGAATTGTATTTCTGCAAAGTGAATAGCAGCGACACGACAGTCGCGCTGTTAGTAAGTTCCACTTAAGACGTTCGAGCCATTTGAATACAGTTTAAGAAAAGTGCTCGTGTGAACAGCACCGAACGGCGGTGTTGACGGTGTTTTAAGACGTTACTTGGTTGGAATATATTTCAGAAGTTTGTTGGCCAACGCTGAAAAAGTTAGTAAAAAAAACAAGTGTGTATAATACAATATGCAAATTGTATATGGATCGTGTATTTTGAAAAAAAAAAAAAAAAATTAAATGGATATCTAAAAAAACAAATTGATATTTTTTAAAAATAATTTATAAACATATGGAATTAACAATAAAATAATTTTAAAAATACGCCAGAGGCATCAAAGTGAAATACTTCTACAGTCGTCGCCTTAAATTTTTTTATTTGCTGGACTCAAACGTGGATTAATTGAAACTGCATAAAAACTGTGTCTATGCTTTAATAGTGAAGCTTCATGTTTGAATTTTAACTTTGAAATAAAAATGTCACACAAAGACCACTAAAATTTTAAAAATGATATTGTTGTGTAGTCTTTTGACTCATTGCCTAGTTGTGGCAGGAAAGGACTTCAACGAAAAATTTCTTTTCATTAAAAAATCCAAAAAATTGTATAAATATTATAATTTTTTTTTTTATAAAAAAAACAAATAAAAAGTATAAACATTCCCTTTTATGAAACGAAAAAAAAAAAAAATATATTTATAAATATTTTAATAATTTTTAAAATAAAAAAATTAAAAGAATACAGAAGAAAATATTAAAAAAGAAATATAAATATAAATATTTTAAAACAAGAAAATAAATATTATTTTTTTTACAAAAAAAAAAAAATGTTTAATATTTTTACAATAAAAAAATTATAAAAATATTAATTTTTTATAGCAACAACAAAAAAAAAATTTAAAAATTTTCATTGAACTGAAAAAGTGAATTTGTACAGCGAAAATACTGCTTTCAAAATATATTTTTTAATATCTTTTTTTAACTTATGAAAAATGTACCAGCTTTTACTTCCTAAGCAACTTTATATAARGAAAGTATTGTTTGAAATATACAATTAACGGAGAATATATGATTCAAAATAACATGAATATAAAAATGTTGATTTTCTTAAAATAAAATATCAAAAAAAAATATATATATTTAAAAATCTAAAAATATATTCCATGCAAAAGCGATTTCGATACAAAAAAAAAAATTAAATGAATATTCAGATATAACTTAACTTCACAAACATTAAATGAACAAAAATGTTAACTAGAAAGTAAAAGATCTTGATTTTATTAAAAAATATTTTGAATAAAAAATTTAAAAACATATATTTCAAAATTAGTTAGGATATTTCTTAGTTCGAAAAAATAATTTCAAAAAAGTCATTTTCAAATAGATTTTCTAAGCTTCAAATGGAAAAAAAGATTTAAAAGCTTTTACTGAAAATTAAAAAAAAAATAGTTTGATTATGATAAGAAATAAAATATTTTTTAATGAAAAATTGAAAAGAAAACTTAAAACATATTTCATGGAAAATCAGTTTTGGTATGAAACAGAACAAAATAAAAATTCCATTAAAAGTATTATCAAACAAATAAATATAACTTAGATATTCTAGGCTTAAAATGAGAAAAAAGTTAAAAATAGCCTTTCTGAGATTTAAAAAAAATTTTTGATTATGGTAAAAAATATACAAACATTTTGTGTGAAAAAATTTTAAATAATATCAAGTAAAATAAGTTTTAAGACAAAACAAAAAAACAACCAAACCTTCCAAAAAAAGGTGTTTTCAAATAAAACAGCTTGAATTGAAGAGAGTTCAAGAAATAGTTTTACTGAAAGAAGCTTTATCATATTTTTTTCTAAAAGATTATAATTTTTCAAATACTGAAAATTTTTTAATTTTCTTCAGCTTTTCTACCAAAAAAGGTGACATTTTTAAAATTATTTTTCCGTTACTAAAATAATATATTTGTTTGCTTAGAAAATAAAAGCCGATTTGTTGAGAGGTAAATGCAAACCGATTTTGTGGTAAAAATTTCGTATAAAGAGAATAAATCATGATTGCCATGGGTAAAAGAAAATTAACAATATAAATTTTGCACTCAAATCCTAACCCAAAATATAAATAGTATCAACTGAAAACAGAAAGCAAAATAAAATCACATTTGGTTTCCCTAAACATTTCAATTACTGCATAAAACTTGTGAATCTTTGTGCGAAGTCAAGAAAACGCGCGTTCAACTGCAACTTGCGCGCGAAAAGAAAGTTTTTTGCCACATGAACGTGCAGCGCGCTGCATCACCCAACAACACAGCTCGCCTTGCGGCCGCAACAGAGCAAACCTCCTGCGCCGCGCTTGCTTGGCGCATAGCAAAGCATTGCTGTTGTTGTTTGTTGAAGCCATTTTCACGTTTGCCTGCATTTCAGTTTCATTCAGAGGCGCAACAAAGCGCATCGCCAACACGAACTGTTTGCCGCATTTGGCGTTGTTTGGTGCAGTCAACTGCGCTTGATGGGCAGGCGACAGCGCAGCAAAGACATGACGGCGAGCAGTCAGCAGCCGGACTGATTTTTCGAGTTTTCCAAACTTCTACCTCAGCCACTTGCAACGCTCAGCGGGCTGACAGGCGACTTGCTACTTGCCACAAACGCTAGGCCGCTGACTGCATGGCGGCTGCGGTGCGTTACACTTGCCGCATGTCATCAACAGCGCAGACTACGAAACAATGGCAACAACGTCGCTGCAATCGGACGTGCAACGCGAGATTTTCATTCCGATTTTGCAGCCGTTCGAATTCGAAGACAATTTGTGCAACACTATGTGCGCCAACTGCAGCAACAGCAAAAACACAGCCGCAGCCGCAGCCACGCGCTGTCTGCGAGATCTTGCGTCTGATTGCGGCGCCTGCGTTGTTGTTGTTGGCTTTTTTTTTTGTTTCTTTTGTGCTCCATTTTTGCAGATATTTCATGTTTTGCTCTCATTTTCACTTGCAGCAGCTGTGTGGCAGCAACAAATTCGCAACAAAAGTGTAAATAAAATCAAAAGTTGAAATAAGAAAATAAAAACAAAAACAAAAAACACAAACGAAAATAAAAGCAAAGTGCGCAAGCTGTGTGTTGTAATCCAAAGCAAAGCAAAGCAATGAGAGTCAGCGCGCGTTGCGAGCAGTGAGCGTTAATATTTGTAAATAAAACGCGGCATTGCAACAACAGTGCAGCAGCAACAAAAACAAAAGCGAAAAATAAATTTAATCAAAAATTGCAAAATCTGCACGCGGCTCAGCTGTGCGCCAGAGTGTGTGTGTGGAAAATCTCTGCGCCGAACCAATACAAAAACAAAGCAAACTAAATTAAAACGCAACGAAAGCGAGTCAGTGCAACAGATAAAAACGCCAGAAGAAGTGAAAAACAAAAAAAAAAAAAAAGCAAAAAGTGAAATTACCGAATTCAGCGCCAAACGCCAAACGCCAAACGCTGAACGCCGACTTTAACTGTCCACTCAGCGCGTGTGTCAGACCGTTGCTTGCCGATTGCTCGTTAAATTTCGGCATTAACTGGAGTCATACTAAATTATAAATAAAATCAACAAAATAAACAATAACAACCAACCGAGCAACCAAACTAGCAATTTACGGTGTCGTTTTATTGCGACATTTCGCATTGCTGTGGGGCGTTCACAGCTTACATTTGATTACTCTTTCGGCAATTATCCGCCTTTGGAACTATTCATTGAGAGAAAATTACAAATAAAATGGGTTTATCGCGTGGATTTGTGGTGCCATTATGGTACTTGGCGTGCGTTTGCTGCATCATTCAAACAGGTGAGTTGCATTAATCAATTGTTTTTCCCCATTTTTTTCTGGTTTTTGTTGTTGTTGTAGTTAAATTGCGCGACACGCTTGATTTAGAATGCGAATTTCTTGCATATATCGTTGGTCATACACAGCCTGTTGTGTGTTTGTTTGCAGGAACTGAAATGAAAGCGTTGCGAGACAAAAGACTTAAGACACGAACTTGCTGAAAAATATAGTCTACTAAATGAATTCAAGAAATAACTTGTTTTTTTAAGAAAGCTAAGAAATTGAATTTCTTACCAGCTACTTTTTTCTAAGTGAAAGTGAAACCAAAACAAAAAAAATGATATTCAACTGTTTTACTCACAAGAATTTGACTAACCTTTATCTGTATATAGGCGAAATAATCTCTCAATTTTTGAGATATTACTGTGAAATTTAACACAAGTCCTTTTCTCATCAAGAAGCTGCTCTTTAGTTGAAATCGCTGATATCGGACAACTTTAGCATATAGCTGCCATACAAACTCAACGATCGGTATCGAGTCCTTGTAAGGAAAGCTTTGTCATTTGACAAGATATTGTCACGAAATTCGGCACGCGTTACTGTGTAAGACAATAGTGCAATCTCTGAAGAAATGGAGCTATGGAAGATATAGCTGCCATACAAACTGAACGATTGTAATAAATTGCCTGTATAGAAAACTTTTTTATTCGTTGAGATATCTGCATGAAATTTGGCATGGATAATTGCCCAAAGCAATGGTGCAGTCTTCAAAGAAATGAAGTAGATCCAATTGCTGTAACATTTAGCTGCCATACAAACTGGGCGATCTGGCTCAATACATAGATGATTTTATGTATTTTTATGACACAATAAATGCACCGGTGAAGGGTATTATATCTCCAATGTAGTAGAGCCGAGTTGATGGCATTATTTTCTAAGCTCTACCAACTCGAGTCGAATGTTTAAAGAACTCTGATTTGCCTACATAATGCAGATGGAGAGTTTATAAAATATTATAACAAAGGTTTAAGGATTTTAATTACAATATTAAATTACTCAATTAAGTAAATGCTACCTGCAGCTTCTTAAATGAAAAATAACTCTCTTTACAACTTAATGCCAACAACTTCTGAACAAGTTGCTTTCCAACTGTAAAAAATCATTGCAAGCACTTCGTCAAACAATCATTTCGAGTTGTTGCATTCACATCATTAACAGCATCAGCGCCAACCAACGCCTCCGGTTGGCATGCCGCCGACCCAATACCCCAATGAAACGGCAAGGCAAGTGAGTTTTCTCATCAAAATACCTTCATATTTTCGAACCAGACTTGCTTCGACGAATGGGCTTGTGCGGTGGGGAGTAATTTCGGCATACCGCCTCGAAATCACGAAACATTTTTTTATTGTAATCAAATTACATGCAAATAAAACGAGCTTACACCGACGACACCACAAGGTACAACAGAAATTTGTGTTACTGTGTTAACATGCCTTTGCATGTTTGTGACTAAAATAAAATAGAAGTACAGTTATAAAGCTTGTTTGCTAATTTACAAACGGGCAATGCGAAAGAACAATCGTAGGGAGGCGGCCAAATGCAAATAAATTTGAGCAATGAAACTGTGCGCATTTGCATGTTTGGCTGCGCTGTGCCATGCTTATGCTGTGTGGTGACGGTGCAGAATGGCCACAGTGACAAATAACCAACAGCCAAGGGCAGCTAACAACAATTGGACAGCAGTTTAACAAGCAGCGAACAGCGGGGTATGGCGAGCGGTGAGCGGTGAGCGACTGCAGAAATGAAGCCAGAAAGCAAAAGTGTGTTAATGTCATTGGAGGTTACCGTTGCTGTTATTGTTGTGCGTGTGTTTTGTTGTGCGCTTTGTTGTTCTATTGTCGCTTCTGCAACGGCAGAATGAGCGGTCAAGTGATACTGGTTTTTAAACGCAATTTATACTATTTTGTTTTGTTGTTGCTGTTGTGCTTTTTTCGCTTCTGAATTGTTGTAGGCAAACAATAAGACAACCAAAACAGCTGTACGTACAAATTGCTGAAAGCGAATGATGGCAAAATAGAAATAAATCAAATAGCTGTGAAGAAGCGCTAAGGTTGTTCAGAGCTAGCGCCTGGTTTTTGTTGCCACAATCAAAATGAGCAGGTAAATTTCAGCAAAAATTAAATGAAACGTTGATTTGGTTGCTTGGCTGACAGCGTCTCAAATGCCTATTGCGAATAAAATAGCAAAAAAAAAACAACGTTAAATGTAAGATAATGAAACAATTGCTTTAAGCACGCGACTCAAAGCGAAGCTCGAAGACGCAGCTTTTGATTGTTTTTGGTTTCATTGAAACAATACTTTGGCGATTGCGTGATTTGTGTGTGTATAATGTTGTAGTTGTTTTTAATCCATAGGCCGTTTGTAATCCTCAGTTAAGTTTAGTAGTGTTTTGTGTTTATTTTTAAAATATTATATCATTGACTCATTAGCAAGCCGAGATTGTTGTGATTGTGAAATGCTTCTCAGAAACTTAGTTAATTGAATTGACAAACGTTGGAATGAAATCAGCATAGAGTCAGGGACTTTGTTATTTTTTGTATAGTGTTTTTTATATTCAATATTCCTTTCTATAGTTTTGCTTCCGCCGTTTTCCAATAGATGTCTCTAGGGTCAAGCTGGTCGATTAAATCGATTAAATCGTTTCATATCGATCTTGTTGGACATTTGTGTCAACATTAACCCAACAAAATATTTGTAGAGATTGCATCCCAAACTTATTCTCAACTGGAAATGTCATTTTTGTAACCGAATTACTCAACGAATTATGATAATAATATTACTTTACTACTACCATCTTGTAGACCTAATATAATAAATGTATTTACTGCTGTGTAAAATATCAAAACAAATTCTTGAAAATATATATTCAGGAGTGGACATATTTTTAATAGTTACTTATAAGTCATATGTACATATTAAGTAATGAAATGCAGTTAATTTCAACTAGGTGTCGCAAAATAGTATAATTTGTATAAAGATTATTTAATAATGATTTTTTTCTTAAAATGTAAGTAGATATAGCTTTAAGTCTTTATATTTTCTTCTATTCCAATTAATTTCCCTCATGTTGATGAGTACATCTTATTTTCTAGAAATGAAAAAGTTGTGATTGGGCGAGTAAAAGAATTTCAGCAAACTATTCCATAATTGCAATTTATTTATTTATTTAGTTAAGTCCATGAACATTAATTCTTACAGACTAATTTATCATATCCAATTGCCGTATTAGTGCTCACTTGACAAAGAAATGATGTAAAAGTCTCCTGAAATTTTTTCCAGGTAAGCTGGACAAATTTTCTTTTTAATGAGAATCGTGGTGAAATAAGCAAAAATAAGATTGTCGCCAAACTTAAGCGAATTTTTAGAGACTTTTCCTTATTATGTGTTTAAATCGATCCTTATTTCAAAATATATAATTTTTGGTTTGAGGGAGGCATGCCATGTGACGTCCAACTTTTTAAAGGTTTGTTCAAATTTGTGTTTAAGACTTGGACTTGGAAGAGCTTTAAGTTTATTGTCATTTATTAATACACGTTTCGAAGAAAATATTGTGTAGCAAATGAGTTACAGCGTTCCAAACACAGCCGCCTCGAAAAACGAAGCTCACACTTTCTACACTATTCCGGATGATTAGCTTATCTGAAACAAAAAAATTAGCGGTGTTTTAATATGTAAGCTTGAATGCACGAAATTATCAAATAAATGTAGTGAAAATTGAACTTTTGGTATTTAGAAAAAATGGTGCGATTTTTATGAATTTTGGATTGATAATAATTCATTCCATGCAATTACATGTGCTAAGTGACCCTAAAAGTTTCTAGTAATTCAGTCAAGCCGTTTTTGAGATACGTTAGAGGAAAGTTTGAAAAACACAGTATTGAGAAAAAGTCGTTTAAAGTTTCAAGTCAGCTCAAACAATAGCCGAGCAGTTTCTTCTTCTAACTGTTGTATCATTAAAACGATTTCGAACTTTTAGAAATCACTTTACCATCGTATTGTAGAAATGTTAAGAAAGCAATTCTTGAACAAAGCATCGCTTTTATGAAGGCATGAGATGGGATGACTTCTTAAAAAGTTAAGTAGAAACTGCACATTCTATTCAAAAATGGCTTCCAAATCTTGTTGTTGTATTAAAACTCCATACTAAACTTGTGATTCATTCTTATCCATTTTGTTTCTTCGAAAACTTTCTAAAAGGCAATAAAAATATATTTTAGAAAACGATGACTGAATGAATTGCTTAATTGCCTTGGCTAATTGACTTCATTATACAGTCAAATATAAAACTTTGCATACAATTATGTGCAATTTTTTTATAGAGAGGGCGCTAGAGATTAACAAAAATTACTAACTAGAAACTTTAGATTTCATTAGAATAATAACTGATCTCTATCTGGTATCGCACAGGACCAAAATTGGTCTATGCGTGGCTTATTGGCCTACCAGATTAACATAACCTAACCTAATCTATGGTTTAAGATATTTTATAAAGTAAAATATTTTTAATTGATTCAAGAGCATGCCTGTAAGGTTCATTAGAGGAATAGAACAGGCTACATACAATT